GTTTCCCTAATTTCTTTCTCATCTCTTTTGTCTTTGGTATACAGGAGGTTTTCTGATTTTTTTTTTTGAGTTAATTTTGTATCCAGCCACTTTGCCGAAGTTTTTTTTATCAGGTGAAGAAGTTCTTTGGTTGAATTTTGGGGGTCGCTCATGTATACTATCATATCATGTGTGAATAGTGAAATTTTGACCTCTTCTGTTCCACTTTGTATCCCTTGGTCTCCTTTATTTGTCTTATTGCTCTAGCTAGGACTTCAAGTACTAAATTGAAGAGATATGTAGAGAGTGGGCAGCCTTGTCTTGTCCCTGATTTTAGTGGGATTGGTTTGAGTTTCTCTCCATTGAGTTTGATGTTGGCTATAGGCTTGCTGTATAATGCCTTTATTATACTTAGGTATGTGCCTTGTATCCTTGATCTCTCCAAGACTTTAAACATGAATGGGTGTTAGATTTTGTCAAATGCTTTTTTGGCATCTAAGGAGATGATTATGCTAACACCAATACTCCTAAAACTATTCCACAAAATAGAAACAGAACGAACATTACCAAACTTATTTTATGAAGCCACAGTCACCTTGATACCTAAACCACATAAAGACGCATCAAAAAAAAAAAAAAAAAAAAAAAAGAACTTCAGACCTATCCCTTTTATGGACATTGATGTAAATACTCAATAAAATACTGGCAAGCTGAGTCCAAGAACACATAAAAGATATCATCCACCATGACCAAGTAGGCTTCATCCCAGGCATGCAAGGGTGGTTCAATATACGGAAATCCATCCATGTGATCCACCATATTAACAAATTGAAGGAGAAAATCTGCAAGTACTAATTTTTTTTTAAATCTTGACAACATAAAATAAACGGAGTCTACATAGATCAAGATGTAGGGAGTCAAATGAATGGAATTTCGTTGTGTGGATTGTTCAAGAATCATCTGCAGGCAAATAGGCATCTCATTGGACTTTGTGATCAACTTCTCTCCTTCACGGTTGAGAGAAAGAGAATAAACCATTGTACATGAATATCTTGCTTTTAAAAACATGGGGAATATAAAACTGTCGTATAGTTCTCAATTCCCTTCATTTCAAAATAATATTAACATAAATCAGTCATAATGTGGAATGATATATCCAGATTGTTTGTACATACTGTAGAGAAGGGCACAAATGGATGGAACTAGAAATTGTATTTTGCTCCCATTTTCAATAGCATAGCAAAATAGTTTAATGAATATAAGGAAGAGAGTCCCAATGACCACACACTTTTATCCATGTTTCATTATCTTTATAATGTTAACTGCCTATTTTTGAAAAGACTAATGGTAGCATGTTATTGAAAATATTTTAATTTCTTTTTATTTTATTTTATTTTCAAAGTTTTATTTATTTATTTATTTATCTATTTATCTATCTATTTATTTATTTATTTATTTATTACAATTTATTCACTTTGTATCCCTGCTGTATCCTCCTCCCTTGTATCCTCCCAGTCCCAGCTATCCTCCCTCTTCTCCCCTATGCCCTTTCCTTAGTTTTTTGATAGGTTTCATGCCGCCTGGCTTCATCATCTTCCTCTGTGGCCTGTCAAGGCTGCAACCCCCAGTGGGAGTTGATCAAATTGCCGGCCACTAAGTTCATGTCAGAGACAGACCCTGTACCCCTTACTTGGAAACCCACTTGGAAAATGAGGAGCCTGTGGGCTTCCTTTTAACAAGGGATCTAGGTCCTCTCCATGCATGGTCTTTAGCTGGAGTATCAGTCTCTGTAGGCACCCCTGAGCCCAGGTATTTTGGCTCTGTTGCTCTCCTTGTGGAGTTCCTGTCCCCTCCAGGTCTTTCGATCTTCCTCTTTTTCCAGTAGGGTTCCTGTACTCTGCTCAACGTTTGGCTTTGAGCTTCAATATCTCTTTTGATACTCTGGTGGGTAGAGTCTTTCAGAGGCCCTCTATAATAGGCTCCTGTCCTTTTCCCTGTGTTCTACTTCCAATGTCTTTCCTACTTCATCTTCTGAATGAGGATTAAGCATCCCTAGGGTCTTCCTTGATGTTTTAAGATTAAAGATTTTAGTATGTTTATCCTATATTATATGGCTATTATTCACTTGTGAGTATATACCATATGTGTCTTTATGCTTCTGGGTTACCTCATTCACCTTTACTACTTCTGTCCATTTGCCTGCAAATCATGTTTTCCTTGTTTTTAATTGCTGAGTAGTATTCCATTATGTAGATGTACCACAATTTCTGTGTCCATTCCTCTGTTGATGGACATCTAGGCTTTTTTCAGATTCTGACTATTATAAATAAAGCTGCTATGAGCATAGCTGAGCAAATGTCCTTATTTAATGGTGAGGTATCTTTTGGGTATAGGCCTAGGAGTGGTATAACAGGATCTTGAGATGACACTATTCCTAATTGTATGAGAAAGCGCCAGATGGATTTCCAAAGTGGTTGTACAAGGTTACATTCCCACCAGCAATGGAGGAGGGTTCCCCTTTCTCCACAACCTCTCCAACATGCATTATCTCTTGAGTTTTTGATCTTAGCCATTCTAAAGGGTGTGAGGTGAAATCTCAGGTTCATTTTGGTTTGCATCTCCCGAATGACTAAGGATGTTGAACATTTCTTTATGTGTTTCTCTGCCATTCAACATTCCTCTGTTGAGAAATCTCTGTTTATCTCTGTACCCCATTTTTTAATTGGATTACATTGTTTGTTGGTGTTTAACTTCTTGAGTTCTTTATATATTCTGGATATTCGCCCTCTGTCAGATGTAGGGTTGGTGAAGAACTTTTCCCTGTCTTTAGGCTGTTGTTTGTTCTGTTTACAGTGTCATTTGCTCTTTAATGTCAAAAATTTCAATATCTAGTCAGTGTTGAAATTTCCTAATTGCCTCATGATTCTATGTTTATTCCTTAATTTATTATTCTTTGTTGAATCAGGATCTAATAATACCTCTCCAGTGTGATTTTCTGGTATGTCTTTAGTGGAAGCTCTTCAAATTGTTTTCATTTATGTTCTAGGCCTCTAAACACACCAATTGTACAGAGAAGGAAAATGGAACTCAGAGACCTAGAAAACTTTCCTGAGACTGAATAGCTACTAACCAAATAAAGCAAGCATGCTCACCACTTTTTGATTTCTCAGTGTATCCTGTTGGTGGCCGTGCATGGTTCTCACCTTTATTTTAGCTTTACATATTTAACAGTATTTTCTAATCTAATAGTGTGTCCTAAAATATTTCAGGTGCTCATCGTCTGCTCATTTTTAAAATATACATTTTAAAAATAGACTCATAGATTCATATGGTATAAAATAAGTATAAGAAACTTATTGTTATTGTGCTGTTACAGTATTGTGACAAAGTTTCTCTCATGTTGGCATACTCAATTTAAGATTGCCTCCTAGATCTTACTGTTTCCCACTTCTTTCATAAGATTCCCTGCACTCTGCCCAAAGGTTGCCCATAAGTCTCAGCATTTGCACTGATAGTCTGCAGGGCAGAGACTTTCAGAGGTCCTCTGTGTCAGGCTCCTGACTTGTTCCCTCTTTTCTCCTTCTTCTGATGCCCATCCTCTTTGCCTTTCTGGATAGGAATTGAACATTTTAGCAAGAGTCCTCCCTCTTGATTAGTTTCTTTAGGTGTACAGATTTTAGTAGGTTTATCCTATATTATATGTCTATATGAGTGCCTATATACCATGTATGTCTTTCTGCTTCTGGGATAGCTCACGCAGGATGATCTTTTCCAGATCCCACCAAGACAGGAACTCCACAAGGAAAGCAACAGAACCAAAAAATCTGAGCACAAGGGGTCTTTCCTGAGACTCATACTCCAACCAAGGACTATGCATGGAGATAACCTAAGACCCCTGCACAGATGTAGCCAATGGCAGTTCAGTATCCAAGTGGGTTCCATTGTAGTAGGAACAGGGACTGTCTCTGACATGAACTGATTGGCCTGCTCTTTAATTACCTCCCCCTAAGGGGGAAGCATCATTACCAGGCCACAGAAGAAGACAATGCAGCCACTCCTAATGAGACCTAATTGACTAGGATCAGAAGGAAGGAAAAGAAGTCCTCCCCTATCAGTGGACTTGGGGAGGGGCATGCATGCAGAGGGTGGAGGAATGGAGGGATTGGGACTGGAGGAGGGAGGGAACCACAGGGGGAATACGAAGTAAATAAAGTGTAATAAATAAAGAATTAAAAATTAAAAAAAAAGATTGCCTCTAAGAATATTTGCAAAAAATTTCAAGGGTATCCTTATTCAACCAGTTTTCTGTGGTCATTGGTTCCAACATTGTTTGTGTCTCTAATGATTAAGGCCTCCAAGAAAGGAGGAGGAGTTGTGGGCTTGAAGATGGACTCCAGGAGCTGTGGTGCAGTCCAAGGCTTTAGGCTTTTTTGGGGGCGAGGGGAGTATATGTCAAGCAAGGGTTTTACCAGAGTCTTACCTGGTTGTTTCTGAGATCAGCAGTCCTCCAAGAAAGCAGGCAGAGTTGTGGGATCAGAAGTGGAGCACAGTCTTTGGGATGCAGTTTACCTCTGTTAGATTTGTTTTCAGGAGAGTTGGCAGGCCAGGCCTAAGGGAAGGGAGGGACTTACCTGGGGTTCCTGTTGCACGCAAGCCTTTGGAAAGCCAGCAGAGTAGTGGGACAGGAAATTGAGTGCAGGGTACGGGGTGCAGTTTATCAGTATAGGGTGTGCTATTAGGCAAGTTGGTGGACAAGGACCTGGGTCCCTGCAGGAAACCACGCAGAGTTCTGGGTCTAAAATGGAGCATGGGGGTTGAAGTGCTGTTTACCACTCTTGTCTGTGCTTTCAGGGGAGCTGACAAGGCTGTGCTTCAATTTTGCCTATATAATTAGTACATAGGTTGCTCAGAAAACTATGCAAGAAATTTCCTCGAAAGAATATAGGTTTTACTGTGACATGGCTATGCTTTATACTTTTATGAGTGCTTAAATTTAGTATTATTATGTGTTTATGTTTTAGATTGGAGATTTGATATATATTATAGAAGGAAATGGTTTGCTACCCTTGCCTTCCAGCTTTCTTTCAACAAAGCCTCAAAGTCCAATTGACTACAGCAGCTCTCTAGAAGGTATATTACACATGTTTTGTTTCATTTGATAAGGTAACAAATCAGATTATTCCTTGTATGGTCATGAAACCATTTTTATAGCAGTTTTCTCCAATATGCAACCATATTTTAGAAAGCCTCCTTCTAACTTTATTATGTTTGTATTTATGAAATAGCATTTATTTACCAATTAAAAACACAGTTGCTGTTTTGTTTTTTAAGTTTCAGATAATACAAGAAGTTATTATACCAAATATTACTGACTAAACCTAGCCATTTCTGTTTGGAAATCATTACATTCTCAAAATTTCATTTATAAATTTTATTTATAAAATTTGTATTTTATATTTATATTTATAAAATTATATAATTTCATTATAAAATTTCATTTATAATCTAGACTTCTATTCTTATGTCTAACTCTGATTACTAGCACTTAAAGAATTTGTTTATGAAACAAAGTTTTAATTTTTGCTTGTCCTTAAAGGGTATCATTTTTATCCTGTTTCCATTTCCCCTATATTATCCTTAATGAGTGTGCGAACTCATTCCAGAGATTGGAAAAATAAAAACTGAGACTGAATATGAAACCTCAGACATAAGTTTTGACTGGAAAGAAAAGGAGTTGAACGAAATGGGTATATAGTGATTTTGAAAAATCAAGGAAATTACCAACAGTACAAGAATGAGTATTTTGTATTTTTTAATTGGTTAATAATTTATTTTATTTTCATTGTAATTCTAAAGCATACCTTTTAGGTGTCAGTAAGAATTGTTTTATGGTTGGAATTATAGCTTATGTTGAAGTATCTTATATGTGCTTGAGAATACATGATCTATTAAACCAAAAAAAATAGGATGAGTATTTTGTTTTAACAATTTGGTGAGGAAATTATGATTTTTGTTAGTTTATGATAACATTTTCAAAGAAATCTCTTCCCCATGGTTAAGAAGATTTTCCTGTGTAAGATAGAAATCTGTTTTTGTTGTTGTTGTTACATTGTTTGTTTGGTAGGTTGGTTGGTTAGGCTATTTTACATGGAGATCAAATTTGTCCGTGAAGACATCCTGGTATTATCCTGTATCTGGTGAATTTTGCTCTCTTTGTTCTCTTGTGATAGGATAAGGGATAATGCACATTCTACTCATGATTAACAATAAAAGAAAGTGACTTCATTAGCTATCAGGCTTTAGTAGATTAGGTATGTGAAAATCTGTCCTACTTTGTCCTCATGAGAATTACCATTTGAACCTTACTAGGGTCACAGTGTACTAAATTTTTGATCATATTGATAGTTTTAATAAAGTGCTGTTGGAGTAAAGCTTCTCTTAGAAAATAACAGTATAGTATTTTTTTTAATTTTTGAAGTCTTATTCTTTAGTCAGTTATTTAGAATTAGTAGAAATATATTATCAGTTTATTTTTCCTCTGATTAATGAACATAACAACTAACTTTACTTTTTAAATTTTTCTAACCTCACAGTTCATGCTAGATAACAATGCTAAGGTAATAAATGTCCATTACATTAATAAATATGTTTACTTTCCCCAGAGTATAATAAGGAAGATCCAGTTCTATATTTGAACTGCAAACCACATCAAATCCTTAATTTGGACCTTAAAGTATCAGTGACTAATGAAGCTAAGGAAAAGGCTTTGGTTTTTGCAGCTCAGCAACAGATGTCAACTCTTGAGTATGAACGAAGGGCTATCACTGACACTCTGGAGAGCAGTACCATTCGTGTGGCCATTGCCCTCCTCGGACTAACCAAGATTGAGGTAAGGATAGAGAAATGATGACATTCAGTTTCTTTTGGAAAAAAAATTGTTTATTTATGTACTCATTCCTTCATTTTGTGTGTGTGTGTGTGTTTGTGCATTTGTATGGACATGTGTGCTTACACACATTTGAACCTACACATGGTGCCAGGTTAGCATATATCAGAGGGATAGCATAGGACAGTTTGCAGAAATTTGTGCTCTCCTTTTATCATGTGGGTTCCAGGGATCTATTCAGGTCATCAGTCATGGTAGCCAGTTCTTCTACCTGATAAGCTGTCTCAATGGCTCTAATTACCCTTAAAACTTTGTAGTTCAGTTATTGTATAATTATAATATTGTGTTCATTGAGAGTGATGAATACTCTCTTTTTCTAGTAGTTCAGTGGAGTTGTTACTGTAGTAAATATAAGGGCATCTGAACTAAAGTATTCTACTGTATGATTTTAATCATTGTAGTGTAGTCTTGAATTTACACTAATTGTCAATTCTGGCTGAACATTAGAATGTTCTTAGAAAGTTAAAGTAACTCCATCAAACAGACCTCTCTAGAACAACTAAATTTAAATCTTATGAAATGACTGATTGGGTACAAGTTCCCCAAGATGCTGCCTGGGATCAAATGACCAAGCTAAGTACAGATACTCTAACTATGTCCAGCTATATGATTATAGGATGGTTACTTAAACTTGTACAAGTTGCTGTTTTTATATTTTTAATATCATGATAATGGTAATTTATGAAAACTGAGATAAGTTTGTAAGATAACTGTTAAATAATGAATGTTCTGTTCATGCATAGTTGCTGTGATTAGTGTTATGATGTTATCAGAAGAAATATATTAGCATAGACTATTATTATGGCTTGAAATAATGTAAAATTTCTTCTCAGTAAGCAGACAAAATGATTCTTTAAAAGGTAAACATGCTCATATGCTCTTCTGTGCCCATTCTAGTTTTTGCTAGATAAAAGCCAATGTTCTCAGGATGCTCTAGGAATGAACTTCCTGATCAGTACCAACTTATTCCATAATCTCTGCTTTTCCATTAGAGTCTGTTTACTCACAGAATTTCTCAGAGCAGTCTTTCTTGCTTTTTCTTTCTTTCTTTTTTTTAAATCCTAGTATGCTAGACATATGTAGGTCCCTCTGGCCCTTGAATTTCCCCAGTTGTCTTTTTCATGGTGGCATAGAACCAATCCCTGAATTATTTCAGGAATTCTAGTTTAAATCCTGAGTGAATCTTTGCTTTTGAATTTGATCTGGGCATCCAAAAAGGCCTGAAACCTAATTGGTTTTATATAATAAAAAATGTCAATTGTGAAGAGAGTAGTAGCTTGGTAGATCCTGCAAATTATGTTATTGTTGGGTGTATAGACGTGAAGGCATGTAGGCTTCTACTGAAGAAATGAAGCTGTATTTCAAGGTTGCTCATTAATTGAATATTTTCCTAGCAAGACAAGTTGTCAGTCACTGTAAGCACTGAAAAAAGGGGGGCATGAGCCACTGTTAAAGATGACTTTGCAGCCAGTCCTGAAGATACCTGATAAAACAGGGCCAGATGAAAGGGGAAGAGGTCCTCTGCAATCCGTGGACTTGGAAAGAGGCAGGGAGGAGCTGAAGGAGGGGGGGTGGGGTTGGGAGGGGATAAGGGAGCGGGATACAGCTGGGATACAGTTAATAAAATGTAACTAATAATAATAAAAAAATTTAAAAAAGGAAAGAAGATGACATAACTGATAACTTGTACGGGTAAGTGATTCAGTTGTATGATAACAATTCTAAAGACATAATCTTGTTCATGCATCTTCTGTATTTTCCTCCAATAGATTTATCTGAGCATGTAATGTGTATTGGAGGTAAAATTTATGAGAATTACAATAAAATTTCAATGTTCCCTTACAGTGCCTTTTGCTCTTTAATATGTCATATTTGAAGAAGCCTAAATCCATTTTATATACCTCCGAATTGAGCCTTCCTGAACATTTTAATATACCCAGGAAAATTTACATCCCTCAGATTACAGAACCTCCAGCTCTCCATAATCAATCTCTTGAAATTAAACCTCAAATAAAAACAGGTATTCAAAACTTTTTTGATTATAATATCTAGCAGTATTACAGGTATTTAAAGGCAGGATCATACTAGAAGAAAAACTTATTTATTCATGGGTAATGTATCTTTGATATAACCATGTTCTTTATAATTTATATAATGTATTTAGTACTGGTATGCTGATGCAAGCTTTTATTATAATTGTGCTCAGGTTAATATGAATATTGATATATATGTACTGTAAAATATTAATAAGATAGTAAACATGTGACTACATATTTTGCTGAAATTTATTTACATTTTATCTATTTTAGTTTCTGTCAATTTTCCGGGTAATCCTAAGACTGTAATTTCTTAACTAGAGCGACCTTTAGTTTTATATATGATGTATTATATTTTTGGCAAAACTTATTTAAGTAAACTTTCACTTGTTGGTCTTCTGATTTTGTATTCACTGTATAATATTTAGAAGCAAAAGAGGAAATTGAAAGAAACAAATGAATGGTCTAGAAATTTTTATCCTAGTAAGCTAATATTTAAGAATATGGATGATTCAAAACACATGAACCTAACAATGAAGTTGAGACAGCTTAAAAAACAAGTAACTGTTAATGAAACTAAAGAAATGTTTAATTGTGGGCTAAGAAAACTGAATTTATATATATACATACACATATCTTAAAATCATGTGCAATAGTAAAGTAATTGGTAATCATTGATAAATCTCTTGAAAACTGTCTATAGAAATAAGAATAATGACTAGCTCACAGCAGGCAAACATGGAAGGTAATCTGCAAGCTGAAAGCTCACATTTTAATAATTATTATGTAATTTATATAGGTCAGTGATATTAATGTTATTTTACTGAGTATTACAATATGTTTGGTATTAAATCATCAAATTAATTTCAGCCAATCCATTCAGAAAGAAAAAAACATTTTTCTTGAATAATATTAATCTATTTTATCAAGAAAACTATCATTATACATGGAATACATATTCAAATTTCATTTCATAAAATTTAGTTATAAAAACATAAAATAATTACAAAGAACAAAACTGACATTAGCATGTATGACTTGTGCTTTTGGTAAAGAACTTTCCATGTGTAGTTGGAAATATGGTTAATAAATTGGTCATCTGTTTTCTGTCCATATAATTATCATAGAATAATTTTCAACAAAAGTATTTTGACAGACACATGCATACAAATTAGTATATAAGTATAGTTTTCACATTCAGTAGCTCATTATCAAACGAAGAGATTCTGTTTATTGTTTTTTTAAATCTGTTTATTGTTTTGTAGTAATACAGATAAAAATTAATTAGAAAGTTGTAAGTAACATAATATATTACTTCTTTACTTCCATGTTTGTTGCACTATTTTATATGATGGAAATTAAATAAACTAGTTTATTAAGTCATACTTTATAATTTATTTGGGATTTTAAAATTCTGAATTTTTCTCATTTTATTTTTCCATAGCAAGAATATAAATGTGAATAAGCACATCAAATTTTATGTAGATCAAACTATTATCCTCATGCTTCAAATTTTTATGGGGTTTATTTTAGATATTGCACAAAGTATCTTGAATAAAACAGTACTGACTCTCATGTAACTTTGATATGAGAAGTCTAGGTATGGCATATAATTCTCCAAATACACTCAGACTCTAAAATAAGTCATCATTGGTCCATTCTGCAACTTTTGTCAGTTCAAAATTAGTAATACCATCCCATATTCCTTTTTCTAAAACTTAAAATTGGCAAACAAAATTAACACATTTTATATAGAATACACACTGCCATTTTATGTTAACAAATAGACCACTTAGTAAATGCAGTTAATTTTAGAATTTTTCGACTCGGATTTGTGTAAGAGAAAATAATAGCACAAGATATTTGAGTCCTAACCTGGTTTCCTCTTTCCTTCAACACTAATCTGAATGGCTGTCATGTTCAGGAATATGTATACCTCAGCTTATTCTTTCTCCCTTATACTAGTAACTTCTTATTTACTCTACAATACTTACAGTCAATCAGAATGAAAATAAAATTTAAAATGTTTAATATTATTTATTACAATTTATTCACTTTGTATCCTGATTCTAGCCCCCTCCCTCATCTCCTCCATTTCCCATTCTCCCTTCTTCTTCCTCCCCATGCCCACTAGTCCACTGCTAGAGGCGGTTCTGCGCCCCTACTATTTGACCTTAAACTATCAGGTCTCATCGGAACTGTCTGGATCCTCTTTCTCTGTAGCCTAGTTAGGCCACCTTGCCAGGGTGAGGTGATCAAAAAGCAGACAACACCCCTAGTCATCAAGGAAATGCAAGTCAAAACGATCCTGAAATTTCACCTTACAACCATCAGAATGGCTAATATCAAAAATTCAAGTGACAACACATGCTGGAGAGATCATTTTGATTGCTCTCTGACCACCTCCCCCTGGCAAGGTAACCTAACTAAGCCACAGAGAGGATCCACATAGTCCTGATGAAACCTGATAGGGTAGGGTCAAATAGGAGGGGAGAAGGACCTCTCTTATCAGTGGACTAGGGGAGGGATATAGGGGAGAAAAAGGGAGGGAAGGTGCCACTGCGAGGAGATGAGGGAGTGGGCTATGCTGCAGTCAGGATACAAAGTGAATAAATTGTAATTAGTAATCATCATCATCATCATCATCATCATCATCATCATCTAAAATATAAAACGAATATTTTTATAAATTCTAACACAATGATTTTTATTTTAATTTGGACAGAAAGGAGCCTAACTTTATATTTTAGAGTTTTGCGATTAATATTTGGATTCTAATATAGACATAAGAATACCCTTGGCTTTCTCTTTAATGTCAAACATTAGTTCCTGGGTATTTATATCAGGTTCTCAAATTGAAAAGTATATGGGTTATTTATGGAAGAGAACATCAAGGTAATACTGGATCATCCATGTAAATTCTTCATTTATTCTCTCATTGTGAGTTAAATGGAGCCATTTGGCTGTCTCTGACCAATCAAATATTTTATGTTAATTTAATATTAAACACTGAAAGTCACTTGAAATACCCATTTCTCTTCCCCTGACTTGTTATCCAAAATGTAAAGTAAAAGCAACATAGGGATATCTTTTAAAACATGGAGGTCCTATTGACTTTTTAGGATGGAATATCTCTTCCACAAAATTATGAAAGACATCTTCTCCCATTCAAAAATGTGTCTGTGTGATAAGATGTAGACAGAATATGAAATGTTAAAGATACCTAGTATATTATTTGTAGATACAATTTCACAGAATAATGTTAAATATATATTACCAAAGATGATTTTAGGTCTTAAATTTAAAATGACTACTGCCTTTAAAATATTTTCCTACCTTTAGAAGGACCTGCTTCAATTCCTCTACGATTTGCTCCTCTTGGGCCTGGAAGATACCCTTGTAAACTTTTGTTGGAATCAAAATATGATGTACGTGTGTATGTACTTGAAGGTATAGTAAATGAAGAAGAACCAGAGGCTGAATTTTTCTTTAAAACACCAGTATTTGAGCCACTTATACAGCATATCCCAATAGTGAGTGAAAACTTTTTTGTTGTGACTTTATTTTCATATACTAGTGGAGAACCTGGCCATAATATATGGTTCTGTATGAATACTGACCAACATAAAGAAAAAATTATATTACATATATATTTGAGAAAATGAATTTTGTTTTAGTTTTGGCACAAACTGGAACCATTCTTAGGCTGTTTCTACCTTGCCTGTGCAGAATTTCATATTTATAATAAAGATTTACTAACAGCCAGGAAATAAACATTTGTATATTTAACTGTGGACTCCTGTTACTTGTCCTGAAGTGAAGAAGCATTTCTTCTAGTATCAGAGGCCAGGACTTGTAGAGGTGAACAATTTCTCCTCCAGTTTCATGTGTTCTGTAGAAAGTTACGACTGACAAAAACAGTGTAAAAATATCCAAATATTTAGAGGTCATTGCATAGATCAGGAGATTTTCTTTTTAGTACACTCAGATTGATATGTCTAAATATTTATACTTTTAATCTACGTTTAAATATGTGTGTGTGTGTGTGTGTGTGTGTGTGTGTGTGTGTGTGTGTGTGTGTATTATTGAACATATTAGCAGGGAGAAAAATACAAATGTATTGCCATTCAGAAACGTGGAAACCATAGACAAGCTCACCAGAGGAACAACATACCCGCAGTTGATATAGAAGAAGAAAGAAATGATTGGATTGTGGATATCTAGAGAAGGGAGGTTGCAACTGGCTAGAAAGTTTGAGGGGAGACTCTGCGGAGGAAGCAAAGTTTATCTTACTAGTTAGATAATGTCTCCCAAGGTACAACAATCTAAGATAATCCCTAACAAGGGCAATCATCACACTAGCTCTTCTTCCTGTGTAAAGATTTTTCCCAGCCAGAATGACATAGGACCATAGAAAAGCCTCTGCGTGTATGTACTGTTCACTAATGCAGATGTCCCTTATAATATGATGGTTTATTTCACAAATGGTCAAATTTTCAGACATAATTCTCTTTCCATTGTCTCTGAATATTCATTTTTAAATGTTTGAGAATTAAATTTCAGGATGGTGTGTTTCGGGGATCCACACCCACTTCTACTGTCTCAAACTCCTCCTAACATCTCAACTTGAGAGCTGTAAATGTATAATTGTATTTTAGACTAAAAATTATTTTTTTCTTATTATCTCAGGTTTCTTCCTGAATATAAGCTCAGCTACAACACAAGTATCATTTTGGTTGAATCTATTTGCTTAAAAATGTGTAATATCCTTAACCTCTCATCAAATACCTAAGAAAAGTTACTTATCTTGGAATCACCATCCTGAAATATGGATGCTCAGATCACTTCTACAAATTCTTTAGATTTAAACATATGAAGAAGATAGGTTCATGGGTTCTAAGAAAAGCCTTTGTCCCCTATTGGACAAAGTAATAATACAGCTTATAAGTAGGTAATTAATTTTGGGAAAATTTCTGTAACTTAGAATAATTAATAATTAGTGATAATTAATTACTAAAGATATAGCCCAGTCAGACTGATGCACCAAAATTTGTTATAATGATAGATAGAACCTCTGTTGAACACCTTTTATTATTTTTGGTCAGTAATAAATGCTATCATCCAGGATCATATTACCTCTGTTTAATTGGCCATTTGTCATAAATTATCATAAATTGATCTTCAGTAAACCAAACATTTAATTTCTCTAGCTATTAAATAACGCTCAAATAGACTTATCAGGCAGTGGTTCTGTTATGCTTGTTCAATTTTTTTGTGTTGTTTTGTTTTGTTTTTTGAGACCTGTTTTCTCTGTGTAGCCTTGGTTTTCCTTGACTTGCTTAGTAGACCAGACTGGCCTTGAACTCACAGAGATCCACCTGTCTCTACCGTGCAAGAGTGCAAGACTATACCTGGCATTTGTTCACTTTTTTTTTTTTTTTTTTGCTATACAAATACTTGTTTATTTTATTTTTTTCATGCTATTTTTTCTTTATTAATTACACTTTATTCACATTGTATCCCCCCTGTGGTTCTTTCCCTCCTCCCGTCCCAATCCCTCCCTTCCTCCGCCCTCTGCATGCATGCCCCTCCCCAAGTCCACTGATAGGGGAGGTCTTCTTTTCCTTCCTTCTGATCCTAGTCAATTAAGTCTCATCAGGAGTGTCTGCATTGTCTTCTTCTGTGGCCTGGTAATGCTGCTTCTCCCTCAGGGGGAGATAATTAAAGAGCAGGCCAATCAGTTCATGTCAGAGACAGTCCCTGTTCCTATTACAATAGAATCCACTTGGATACTGAACTGCCATGGGCTATATCTGTGCAGGGGTCTTAGGTTATTTCCGTGCATAGTCCTTGGTTGGAATATCAGTCCCAGGAAAGACCCCTGTGCTCAGATTTTTTGGTGCTGTTCCTCTCCTTGTGGAGTTCCTGTCCTCTCCAGATCTTACCGTTTCCCACTTCTTTCCTAAAATTCCCTGCACTCTGCCAAAAGGTTACCCATAAGTCTAAGCATCTACATTGATAGTCTGCAGGGCAGAGCTTTTCAGAGGGCCTCTGTGTCAGGCTCCTGACTTGTTCCCTCTTTTCTCCTTCTTCTGATGTCCAGCCTTCTGGATAGAAATTGAGCATTTTAGCAAGAGTCCTCCCTCTTGATTAGTTTCTTTAGGTGTACAGATTTTAGTAGGTTTATCTTATATTATATGTCTATATGAGTGAGTATATACCGTGTGTATCTTCCTGCTTCTGGGATAGCTCACTCAGGATGATCTTTTCGAGATCCCACCATTTACCTGCAAATTTCATGATTTTCTTGTTTGTCATTGTTGAGTAATATTCCATTGTGTAGATATACCACAATTTGTGCATCCATTCCTCCACTGAGGGGTATCTGGGCTGTTTCCAGCTTCTGGCTATTACAAATACGGGTGCTACAAACATGGTTTTGCAAATGTCCTTATTGTGTACTTGAGAATGTTTTGGATATATGCCTAGGAGTGGTATAGCTGGATCTTGAGTAAGAGTTGTTCTTCACAAGATTTTTTTAATTGTCACATTCTAAAAATTTTTATAACTCATGGAATAATTCATAATAATTAAAGTATTTTATCAAATACTAATTCTAAGCACTGTTATGATTATTATTTTAAAAAATTAAATTGGCCTGCACATACATGGATGATTTTATTGTATTTTTCCATGTGATTATTTTCTTTATATTTAATTTTTTAAATTTATTTTATTATTATTTTTTTGAATTTAATTTTTTTTATCAGTTACATTTTATTAACTCTGTATCCCAGCTGTGTCCCGATCCCTCATTCCCTCCCAGTCCCTCCCTCCCTCCCTCATCTCCACCGTGCCCCTTTCCAAGTCCACTGATAGGGGGGACCTCCTCCCCATTCATCTGATCCTGTTTTATCAGGTATCTTCAGGACTGGCTGCAAAGCTCTCCTCTGTGGCCTAACAGGACTGCTCTTCCCTTGGGGGGTGGGGAGGCCAAAGAGCCAGTCATTGAGTTCCTGTTAGAAATAGTCTTTGTTCCCCTCACTATGGGGAACCAATTTGTTACTGAGCTACCACAGGCTACATCTGAGCAGAGGTTATATTTAATTTTGTTAATTCTACACCTCTCCTTATCTCATCTCATCTCTTTCTTTCCCCTTTTTCTACTGGAACCTTTGTAATTCTTGTGCATGGTAGGCAACTGCTCTACTCCCGAACTCTATTCCAACCCTTGCACATTTGCAACCAGGTCTCACTATGCAGCTCAGGCTGGCCTTGAACTCAACATTAGATCCTAGCCTGCTTTTGAACTCCAGGATGCACATACATAAGGGTTCCAGGTACTTGAGTTATAAGCTGTGTAACCATGCCCAGCCTAATTGTATTTTTAATGTCTTAAAAATAAGAATTAGTATGTAATTCAATTTTATCAGCATCATCCTTCTGACACATGTGTAACTGTTTCCATGTTTTAGAAAAATGAAACAAAGAAACCTTCGAAATTTCAAGTTAAAGTAGAAGGAGAGTGGTTTTATGGACCTCAAATTTTACGTGTTGCCCCTGGTGAAACTATACAATATCCTTTGACATTTAAACCCATGATGGAATGTGAAGTTACGGTATAAATCATGTATTCTTCCTTATATTACTAATATGTAAATCAAAATGTGTAGATAATAATCAATGTAGTTAATTATAAAATGTTAAGTAACATTTTACATATTCTATAAACTTGATAGTTTTGCTTAACGTGTTTAACTTTGAAGGACCAATATTTATCATGTCACTTACAATGCTGTTGTCTTTGAATATTTATATCCAAGTTATTTTCAGAAAGCATGCTCAATGGTATAAAATCATTGCTTCTAGTCATTGCTACATCTGAAAATTCTCTCAGCAATATTTCTCCAACAAGGTGGTAAATATACATAGAATTGCTAGGCTTGAGATTGCTTATGTAAAATGTATAATTTCCAGAAAGATAGAAATAAAGAGCACTTCATTAGTATATTCTTCAGTAAAATCATTTTTATGTGAACTAGAAATTTCAATGGTTAACACTGTATTACAAGTTCCTTTTGTTGATGACACTCAAGTTGAATAGGATGAGAATGCTGACTGCTGTAGAGCTTAACAGTGTCTTATTTGTCATAGGGTAAACTTACTATACAAAATGAAGTAGATGGTACAGAACACATAATTAAAACAGATGGGATTGGGACAACACCCTTGGCCTTGGACCACATTGTTATAAACTGCACCGTGGGAAAAGTGACAGATAAATCCATAATAGTGCCTAATTATACAAAACGTCTCCTGACATGTAAGGTAAGTAAATTTTAGAAAGAAAATGCTTCCTTCTGAATGTACTTTAAATTATATGAAACGTGTTAATCGTGTGAAAAATATAAAATAATTTTACCTAAAGAGGTGAAACACATACAGAAATGATTATACTTCTATTGTTTATTCTTCCCACAGCTACAAAATTAAATTTTCTTAAATATATTTATTTTTTATAAATTAGAGTTTATTCACTTTTCATCACAGTTATAGCCCCCATACTTATTCCCTCCCATTCCCACCCTCATCTCCTCTTATGTCCCTCTTCAAGTCCACTGATAGGGGATGTCCTCCTCACTTTCACTCTGAGCTTAGCCTATCATGTCTCATCAGGACTGTAGGCTCACCTTTGGTTCTGTTGACAGTGTCCTTTGGTATATAGAAGATTTTCAGCTTCATGAGGTCCCATTTATTGACTGTTGATCTCAGAGTTTGTGCTGTTGGTGTTCTGTTCAGGAAGTTGTCTCCTGTGCCAATGAGTTCAAGGCTCTTCCCTACTTTTTCTTTTTACAAGTTTCATGTGTCTGGTTTTATGTTGAGGTCTTTGATCCACTTGGACTTTACTTTTGTGCAGGGAGATAAATATGGATATACTAGCATTTTTCTACATGTAGACCTCCAGATAGACCAGCACCATTTGTTGAAGATGCTATCTCTTTCAATTGTATGGTTTTGGCATCTTTGTTAAAAATCAAGTATCCATAGGTTTGTGGGTTTATTTCTGCGTCTTCTATTTGATTCCACTGGTCCTCCATTCTCTTTCTATGCCAGTAGCACAGGGTTTTTAGTACTATTTTTTTGTAGTACAACTTGAGATGAAGGATGGAGATATTTCCAGAAGATCTGTTGTTGTACAGGATTGTTTTGGCAATTCTGGGTTTTTTTGGTTTTCCATATGAAATAGAGAATTGTTTTTTCTAAGTCTAAAAAGAACTGTGTTGATATTTTGATAGGAATTGTATTGAATCTGTAGATTGCTTTTGGCAGGATGGCCATTTTCTCTATGTTAATCCTACTGATTTATGAGCATGGGAGATCTTTCCATTTTCTGATATCTTCTTCAATTTCTTTCTTCAGAGACTTGAAGTTTTGTTTTTTGTTTCTTTGTTTTTCAAACAGGGCTTTCACTTGCTTGGTTAGAGTCACACCAAGGTTATTTACATTATTAGTGGCTATTGTGATGGATGTTGTTTCTTTGTATCCCTGCCTAACCTTGATCTCAGAGCAATGCTCATTTCTCAGTTTCCCAAATGTTGGTGTTGTAAGTGATTGCCACCATAGACAGATTTCTGGAACTTTCTCAATTTTGTATACAAATTTGGTAGGGATCAATATAATTGTTTTTGTTCTTTTTATTATTGTTGTTGTTTTGTTTTGTTTTTTCAATTTTAAAATAATATTCTCTCATGTATTAATCCCAACCAGTTTCCAATCTCTCTACCTTTCCCAGTTCCTCCCAGACCTTTTCAGTTCCACAGGTCTGTCCTCCTCTTTTTCCCCTGAGAAAAGAACAGGGCCTCCCAGGGTTATCAACTGAATGCTGCAGAACAAAATGCAATCAGTCTAAGCATAGATCCTCATATCAAGACTGGACAAAACAACCGAGTAGAAGGAGAGGGGTCAGAAGAAGAAGCAAAAGAGTAACAGGCAATCCCAACTCTTTGTGTTAGGAGTCCCACAAGAACACCAGTCTACACAAGTCATAATATATATGTAAAGAACAGAATGAAGACCCATGCAGACTTTGGTCTCTGTGAGCCCCTGTGGATTCTGTCAGATGTGTTCTCTTGGTGCCCTTGGCCCTTCTAGATCCCACAACATTTCTCCCTCATTTTCTGAGGTCTCTGAGCTCTGGCTAATGTTGGGGTTGTAGGTTTCTTCATCTGTTCCCATTAATTACTGAATGAAACATCTTTAAAGAAAATGGGACTAGGTATCCATGAGTGTAGTATAATATCATGAAGATTCAGTTCATTGACTTATTTTTTTCCAGTCATGCTTGTTTCTATCCTAACTTTTTGGACTATGCAGCCTCCTGTTTCTGGCCATCCAGGTAAAAACAGGGCTGGGTGCCTTCTCAAGGCATGGGCCTCAAGCTGAACTGGTCATAGGTTGGCCAATCCACATGTTATGTAACATCATTTCCCAAGCACATCTTATAGGCAGGACAAATTATTGGTTGACTGTTTTGTGGCTGGGTTGCTGTCCTACTTCCACTACCAGAAGACTGGTTACAGAAGATGGTTGGTACAGGCTCTGTATTCCCCGTGACTAGGAGTCTTCTGTAGGATTACTCTAGCAGATTCCAGGGTGTTTCATTGCACCGGGTTTCCACATTGCCCCCAAAATGTCTCCCCAAACCATTTGTCTCTCCCAATACTCTCTTCTTCATCCATCCATCCCCACCCCTTGCCATAAATTGTTATGTGCTCAAAGTGTTCCTCAAAAGAAAATTCATCCATCAACCATAGGAACATACATTTATCTTCAGAGCACATGAGAGAAAAGTGGAAACTCTCTTCAGTTTATACTCTGCTTCCTTTTTTTAGGTTTTCTTTTTTAATTTTTATTTTTTATATTAATTACAGTTTATTCACTTTGTATCACAGCTATAGACCAACTCAATCATTTCCTCCCAATGCCACCATTCCTCCCTTATCTTCTCCCATGCCCCTCTCCTAGCCCACTGATAGAGGAGGTCCTCCTCCCATTCGCTCTGACCCTAACCTATCACGTCTCATCAGGCCTGGCTGCAGTGTCTTCCTCTATTGTCTAGCAAGGCTGCTCCCCACTCAGGGGAAGATGATCAAAGAGCCACCCACTGAGTTCATGTCAGAGACAGTCCCTGTTCCCCTTACTAGAGTACACACTTGTATACTGATCTGCCATAGCTACATCTGTGCAGGAGTTCTAGGTTATCTCCATTCTTTTTTTTATTAATTACACTTTATTCACTTAGTGTCCCCCATAAGCCCCTCCCTCCTACCCTCCTGAGCCCACCTTCCTTTCCGCTTCTTCACACATGCCCCTCCCCAAGTCCACTGATAGGGGAGGTCTTCCTCTTCTTCCTTCTGATCATAGTCAATCAGATCTCATGAGGAGTGGTTGCATCGTCGTCTTCTGTGGCCTGGTAAGGCTGCTTCCCACTCAGGGGCAGGTGATTAAAGAACAGGCCAATCAGATTATGTCAGAGCCAATCCCTCTTCCCATTACTATGGAACCCACTTGGACACTAAATTGCCATGGGCTACATCTGTGCAGGGATTGTAGGTTATCTCCATGCATGGTACTTGGTTGGAGTATGAGTCTCTGGGAAGACCCCTATGTTCAAATTTCTGGTTCTGTAGTTCTCCTTTTGGAGTTCCTGTCCTCTCCAGATCTTACCATTTCCAATTTCTTACATAAGATTCCATACACTCTGCCCAACAGTTAGCCATAAGTCTCAGCACCTGCCTTGATAGTCTGCAGGGCAGAGCCTTTCAGAGGCCCTCTGTGGCAGATTCCCAGCCTGTTTCCTTTTTATTCCTCTTCTGATGTCCTTCTTCTTTTCCAGTTGGGATGAGAATTGAGCATTTTAGTCAGGGTCTTCTCTCATGACTAGTTTCTTTAGATGTACAGATTTCAGTAGGTTCATCCTATATTATATGTCTATATGAGTAAGTATATACTGTGTGTGTCTTTCTGCTTCTGGGACAGCTCACTCAGGATGATCCTTTCCAGTTTCCACCATTTACCTGCAAATTTCATCATTTCCTTATTTTTCATTGCAGAGTAATACTCCATTGTGTAGATGTACCACAATTTCTGCATACATTCTTCAGTTGAGGGGCATCTGGGCTGTTTCCAGCTTCTGGCTATTACAAATAAAGCTGCTACGAACATGGTTTTGCAAATGTCCTTATTGTGTACTTGAGCCTCTTTTGTATATATGCCTAGGATTGGTATGGCTGGAGCTTGAGGAAACATTATTCCTAGTTATCTGAGCAAGTGCCGGATTGTTTTCCAGAGTGGTTGTACAACTTTACATTCGCACCAGCAGTGGAGAAGGGTTCCCCTTTCTTCACAGCCTCTCCAGCATGTATTGTCACCAAAGTTTTTCATCTTTGTCATTCTGATGGGTGTAACGTGAAATTTCAGGGTGGTTTTGATTTGCATTTCCCTGATGGTTAATGACATTGAGCATTTTTTTAAGTTTTTCTCTGCCATTCGATATTCCTCTACAAAGAATTCTCTGTTTAGCTCTGTTCCCCATTTTTTAATTAGATTACTTGGTTTGCTACTTTTCAGCCTCTTTACTTCATTTTATATTCTGGATATTAATTAGCCCTCTGTCAGATAAAGGGCTGGTGAAGATTCTTTCCCAGTCTGTACGCAGTCGTTTTGTTTTGACGACAGTGTCCTTTCTTTTACAAAAGCTTTTCAGTTTCATAAGGAACCATTCATTGCTTGTTGATCTTGGAGCCTGTGCTGTTGTTGTTCTGTTCAGGAAGTTGTCTCCTGTACCAATGAGTTCTAGGGTCTTCCCCACTTTTTCTTCTAACCAATTTAATGTGTCGAGTTTTATGTTGAGGTCTTTGATCCACTTGGACTTTAGTTTTGTGCAGGGTGATGAGTATGGATCAATTTGCATTTTTCTACATGTAAACATCCAGTTAGACCAGCACCATTTATTGAAGATGCTATCTTTTTTCCATTGTATGGTTTTGGCAAAGATCAGGTGTCCATAAGTTTGTGGGTTTATTTCTGGGCCTTCTGTTCGGTTCCACTGATCCACCATTCTGTTTCCATGCAGTTTTAATTACTGTTGCTCTATAGTACAGCTTAAGATCAGGGATGGAGATACCTCCCAAAGATCTTTTATTGTAGAAGATTGTTTTTAGCAATTCTGGGTTTCTTGTTATTCCAAATGAAGTTGAGAATTCTTCTTTCCAGGTCTGTAAATAATTGTGTTAGTAATGTGATGGGAATTGCATTCAATCTGTAGA